CGGTGCGGGGGCCGGGCGGGGCAGGCAGGGCAGGCAGCGGCGCGTGAGGCGAGGAGAGCGGAATTGCCCATTGCTAAAGGTTTGCCCCAGCCACGTGTCAGGCTGCCGGGAACTGCCAGTAATTCGTAGTAATTCCTTCTCGGTTTACTCAGCTAAAACACAGCCAAATAAACTACATACATATACATATATATATCATCCATATATGCCAGTACATACATCTATATGCATATATTCACACTCCTGGTCTCTTCGAAGACAAGTGAGCCACTAGTAAAGTTGTGTTTCCCACTGTTTAATTAAGCCTCGCATATGTAAAGAGACCGCGTGTGTTTACAACCATATCTCTGCCTCCTGACACTATCTTGAGATCGTTTCAAGGCGGCTTAGTTATCTCTCCAAGTGGCAATGCTGGGTCCCACTTCTTGCTTGAAATAAACCGGGTGGTGGTTTGTTTTCTGAGTATTGCAAAAAGAAATCATCTCTCAAACTAAGTTAGAGCTCCAGAGATCCCTCGTGTTTAGTAGCTGTCGCATCAACAAATACAAGTTTCGGAACTTTTTCTTGGCTGCTTCATTGCAACAAGATTTCGTCGCAGGCGTGTGTCGTGTGCAAATATGGCTTTGACTCTTGCAGCAAAAACTACAGCCTCGTCGGTTGCTCTTAAAAAGAAAACATGACTTTGAAAAAAATATATTTTCGTGATGAATACTGATTGGAGGGCACTTATACACCACATTGATGACGGCAGTGTAACAGCCCCTATGGAAGGGAACACACCTCGCGAAAGTGTCTAAACATAGGATACGTTTTAAATTAAAAAGAAAAAAAAAAATGAAGAAAATAAAGAGAGAACGAAAGAAAAGGGCGGGGGGAAAGGGTTTGGAAAATACATTGATAGAATGGAGGGAATGCTTAGAGACAACTTAAGGTAAATATTTGCACCTTCTTCGATTTTGTGTTTAACAGAAATACATGAAGCTTTTACCTACAATCTTAAGCGAGAAGGAAACTGCAGGAAAACATAAACATCGTATCGTGTAGACGGAGCTCTACCCAGCCAGCTCGCCCTGCCACTGCCTGCTCCGGGGAGCTTTGCCTATTCAAATCAGAGCAACTTCTCCCGCCTAGGAAAGATAAATGCTAGGGAAGGAAATAGCCGGGAGAGCCCCCTTTCCGTCCACCTCCCCCCCCAAAAAAACATGGAAATTGTAAATACGGCACAGCAAAACCCAGAGAGGGGGAA